AGAGAGAGAGAGAGAGAGAGAGAGAGAGAGAGAGAGAGAGAGAGAGAGAGCGTGGTGCGAGAGAGAGAGAGAGTGAGAGCGCATTGTGTTTGTGGGAGCATTGCCAACACAAATGACAGCACTAATATAGCGACACATCCCATGTTATTGCCGCCATATAACGTAGATATTGCGCTCCGTTAAATGATTCACGGTTTCCGGGTCGGGACCGGGGGACCCTACCATAGATTCCGATGGCAAATCGAGTGCCTACAGCCATACATGAGACTGCTTAACGTGCAACAGAATGTCTCTCTCCCCGGACGTGCAAATGCACGTCTGGATGCTAATAGTTCCGTATTCAATTTTGTTTCAGCATGGCAGGTGACATAGTATGTGTTAGAAAACGGCACCGAGCGAATTTCGAGTGTAATGACGAGCTGCATTTCTAAACCACTACTCTACACAAACCAAATTCAAAACTAAACTATACAGTTTTTAAACGCGTTCCAAAGAGATACACTTGCTAGCAACAGCAAATCTGAATCCGTGGTTGGATGGCTACAAAACGCCCCGTCTTGTTTGGGGGGGGATTTTTTTGAATTGTTTTTAGATTTAAACGTAACGTGTACCAAAGAGAATTTGTGAGCAATGGCAACAATGGCATGTCTATTGTCATTACACTATAATTGACCTATCTGACTGACGTGATTGACAGGCAGCTATAACCAATCAATGTTGCGGTCAGACGTTCTAAAATCAAAGCTTAGTAACGAAGCGCAGGAAAGTCGACACTTTGGCTTGCACATGTGCATTTACATGTGCAAACTATAGGTGAGCTTCACCGACGTAGCCTTGAATCAGTCTAATGAATAGGTGATGTAATAGCCATAGCGGATAGGTAAATTTGCGCCAAATATGAGAAAAACCCGCGAATAACAGCATTAACGCAAGCAAGAAATAGTAGATGAATCGGAAGCAGAGGCGGCAGTGTACAAAGAATATCGAATGCTGACACATGCTGAAGTCGTAATCGAGTTCCACGATGAACGTGATACCGTTTTTAGTGGACTATCGTAATAGATTAATTAAGTTCTTGAGTCGATTACTTAATTCCGAACCTGTTAGGAAAGTGTTGCGCGTAAAATAGGAAAGAGATAGGAATAGGAAATAGAAATCCTTTTTTTATTTAAAGGAAGTCGAGAACAAATCGAGCCCTGTTAAAGCGATGCTTCGCCTATACTACTGTAAATAACAATCATTAACTAATTAACAATATATTATATTTAACTACAATAACCAGCTAACCCACAAACTAATTACCTAACCAACCAGTCAACCAACCAATCAGCCAACCAACCAACCAAACCAACCAACCACACACACACACACACACACACACACACACACACACACACACACACACACACACACACACACACACACACACACACACACACACACACACACACACACACACACACACACACACACACACACACACACACACACACACACACACACACACACACACACACACACACACACACACACACACACACACACACACACACACACACAACCAACCAACCAACCAACCAACTAAAAATTTACATGCACAGCTATAACAATGTCTATGAATTTATGGATTCGGTGAAGCCCCTGGTAAAATCCGAAAAAGCTCTATTATCTCATGTACTGGGTATTAAAGCTACGCACACGACGCTCTGCATCCCTTGTGTGCCGACGGCAGCTGATTGCTAAATCTAGAATCGGGTTCTATGTTAAAATTGTCACAGAGAATCAACGAAGGTGTTTGCTTTAGTCAAAGCAGATGACCAGCTGGTTAAGTTCCGTGTTAACTCAGTGTCTCTCTCCGCACGACTTCTATCTCTAGTCTCGCACGTCTACTTGCCAGCCATAAAATCTCATGTAACAATATATGATTTAAAGGTTCTGCGATTCTATTTACCGATAAGTGTACACATAACGTGTCATACTGGTTTTCACACAAAATAATGCGTGGGAGGCAAATGATTCAAGCAGGCTTTACACGCGGTTTTGTGTTTCCATACGATGTGGAAGTTTAAGCCGGTTACAAATAAGCCGGAATGTAAAATGATACTCTCGTGACCTGTGCCCGTTGTCGTGGATTCGTGTATCAAGGCTACAATTCATTGACCATCATATCGATCGATCATACGATACGCGTATCCCATTTGTTCCTTCACTATTCGTCTCCTGTCCTTTTGTTCACTGGCGATGTTGTAAGCTCACGTGTAAGAGCACCCACGTGCCCAGGGTCATATATATATATATATGCGCTACGATGCCATTCAAACACGCCACGCTTAGTGGGCAGAGCATTATAACATCCGCAGTAGTGTCATGAACTGTAGAAACATTGATTATTAATTAGTAGATGCCTATTTGTGTCGGTCGGGAAAACGGTCGTACATCTACGCCGAGGTCGGCGTGAATACACGGGCCTGAACCCGCAGCATATTATACTAATCATCGGCGCTGCTTGCTGATGAAAATGCCCACAAGCAACTGCCCACGCAGCAGCAGCAGCAGCGAGCACGTCTCCTGATCACATCTCTATACCACCTGCCCAAGATTAATTGCACCCTGTGAGGCTGCGTCTTCATTGAGCGCTAGGACAATACGTTGTCGCCCGCAAGTCGCTTGTTCACGGCCTCAGATTTCACGAGACATTCACCCGGTGTATATATATGCGCCAACGAGTGCATTAACTTCCCGCGTGGGCTTACTCGTATTAAAGTAACAAGCACGGTAAATGATATCTAAAGCAGGATAACGGTGGAGTGTGAAGCGCATCTAAAGACATATTTGACGTGAGAACAATTGATTTTGTTCTTGCTTAACTGAATGCTATATAGACGGACGTTTTCCAATTAGAGTTATTTTCTGTTGTTTATTGTTTAGGTTTTGCCATTCAATAATAGCATCCCGCGTGGAAATGTGGAACAGTGGGAATAGAAACCGATTTAAAGGTTCATTTGAAAGCGCAATGAAACCGGGATAATTTTAATTAATCAAAGCTCATCCACTTCGCATATGCTCGCATAAAAACAGAACGTCTTTAAATTAAATAATGGCACCAGGAGAAAATAGTAATAGAAATAGTCGGGACCACGCAAGGTTGGATGTCTTGTACATTATCAGTTGTTCATTTCGGTTAAACCGAAATCAGATAAGACTACTCTTATCTATATTTGGTCAAACCCATCTTCATTTGGCTTTTGTAAATGCACGGAGAATGATATTTTGATAGCGTCTTGGTGATTGACATATATCCATCTGACGTGATCGGCAGGCAGCTCTAACCATTCAGCCTTGCGAGAGAGTTCTAAAAACACGCTGCGTGAAAGCGATGACCCAAAGTCAGCAATATTGCGTATACGCGTGAAAACACGCATAAATCGCCCTAGCTTGAATGACCTAGAAACAATACCCAAGTGCGACGTGGCAATCTCAGATGGACAGATCGGTAAATTATATCGCAATGTCCGAGGTTCTCTAATATTATTCGCTCGTTCTCGCGTAACAAAGACCCTGTCGTCGTTGCAGCGCACGACCTGCCACCTGGCGACAAGGAGGGATTCAACGACCCCTACGTTGAGGTCCGCCTGTACAAGGAGACCGATTCCAAGCTGCGACGCTCGAGTATCCAACGAAAGACGCTGTTCCCGGTCTTTAACGACGTCTTCAAGTTTCCGATCACGTATGAGGAGCTTCAAGAGAAGACGCTCCATTTCTACGTCTACGACTTCGACAAATTCTCGCGAGAGGATGTCACGGGAGTGGTGAAGATCGACATGGGCAAGGTTGACGTCAGCTCCGAGCTAGAAGTCTGGAGTGACATTCAGAAGCACAAACGAGTGAGTCACGAAAACGCCTATTATTTAATGGTTATATATATATATACATTATATATATATATATACATATGTATGTATATATATATATATATATGTATATAACTCGCGCTATACTATTCTCGCGTTTTAGGAACAATGTGTTTCAGGTGAGAACGTGAATACCGTGAATAGTACATTTATCGTTTCATGGAGAAACATGGGGTGCGAGAAATAAGGCCGCGGTGAATCATCTATTATTTCTTCTATATATATATTATCAAGCTTATTCAAGGTATTATTAGCTCCTGATATTATATTCTTCCGGGCGAAGGTCGTGCCGGTTGTCGATACACAGTGAGTTAGCTTATAATACCCCCTTCACATACACGGATTTTTCTTACGAGTCCTTACGGATCGCACAATTCGTAAAAGTACACGGATCCTTACGATTTGGCCGCTTTTACGAGCGATTTACGTGTTATTACGAGCTAGGTACTCCTGATATATATATATATATATATATATATGTTATTATGATCATTAATGACATCAAAGTTGGAAACACTCCTAATGGAGTATCACCCGCAAATCTCAATCTATCATCAACTGACATCCAGAGAGACAACATGGCATATGAGAGAACAACTCTTGATAACAACTGAAAATGACGTGTTCGATTTTGCAGCCTTTCCAAAATCGTAAACAATACGTAAGAATACGTAAAGTATACGTATCTATTCGTAAAGTTCTCGTAATAACTCGTAATAATCCGTAAAGCCATCGTAACACGACCCGAATGAAATCGTAAACAACACGTAAGCACTCGTAATAATCCGTAAATAATCCGTAAACAAATCGTAAACTAACCATAGCAAATCGTAACAAAAATTGTTACGAGTCATTTACGGATTCTTGCGAGCAGTTTACGGATGGTTACGTGTTGTTGCGAGCAGTTTACGATACTTACGGATTGTTACGAGTTATTTACGGAAAAAATCAATTCGTGGACACTAGTGAGAAGGTTTTTGACATGTCAAAAAATTTGCCTCTCCTTTCACGGAACCTTACGAGTGTCTGCTAGTTGTGACGAGTTAATACGGATACCAGCGAGTTATTTACGGATGCTTGCGATTGACTACGAGTTGGCGAAAAATCCGTGTATGTGAAGGGGGTATTAGGGCAACGAGAAAATTATAAATAGAAGGTCATCGTTAGGGCATCGCTGCTTAGTGGTGATGTGGTCTTTTGCTACGAGGTTTCGATCTGCTTGAAGATGGTGGTATAAATTAACAATACTTCACAACTTTTTATTATAACACAGAATCTAATAAAGAATCAATTTGGAATAGAGTCCGCCTAGAGAATCATACTCCGTTTTGTTGTTGACGATTGATAAGTTGATGTATGGGTAATGACAATATCTAGGGTGATAACGATGAAAGCGACAACGAGGATGAGGATGGCGATGATGAGGATGGCGATGATGATGATGATGATGACGACGATGACGACGATGATGACAACGACGACGACGACGACGATGTTGGTAATATACACGCAATGAGCTGTCAGAATTAAAGCATCAGATATCAGGGTAACTTATCCGTGACATTTCTATTAGCGAACACACAACACCATGTCAACATTATGTCTTTGCTCGCTGTTTTCAGGTCCACGAAGGAGCTGGTGAGATTCTGTTTTCACTCAGCTATCTACCGTCAGCAGATCGGCTTACTATTGTCATCATGAAAGGAAAGGATTTAAAACCAGCAGAGACTCATCAGGGCTATGGTGTGTAAAATCGTAATTGCTATCGCCACAGCACACGGCTCGCGGCCACTACCATCGCGCTCCGTTGTGTACGCAAACATTTTGAAATCATTCGGGAAATCTTTTATATCTTTGTGTAGCCAAAGCAACTCAAAATCCCTTCACCTCACCTTTACGCGCCATTTACTCCTCCTCCTCCACACCCACGCACGCACGCACGTACGCACGCACGCACGCACGCACGCACGCACGCACGCACGCACGCGCGTACACGAACATACGTACATACACAAATACAGTCACACATGTGTTTGTTCATATTTAATTACTTACATATTTATTTATTTATTTAATGCATATTTGTAATACAATCTAAAGCCGCCACTATTATTTAATGTTTGCTTGTTTAATCCTCCATATGGAAGGACAAGGGCATTTGACAAATAGGCCTGCCTGTACGCGCGTGGGCGCCTAGCCACCGTATTGATTTATACTTACTGGGAAATCTAGCATCTGCGCATCATGTGAATTCGTATAAGGCTAATAGAGGTGAACACAGTGAATAAATTACAGGCGGGTACGTCGACTTAACCCAGTGACCGCTTGCTCTCATATTGTAACTGCTCTCGAGCTACGTGAGGTTTCTCGTTACGTAGTGCGTTTTCCTCCGCCTCGTCCGTTGCCATATGTGCGACAAAATGTGACAATATTTTCGGGGGCTAAAATTATTTAACAGGTCTAGCTATGTTAACAAGTGATATCAGGTGATTTTTCTGGTTGTTGAAATGACGTGCCATTGATCTTTAATCGATAGATGAAGGTGGATTTTATAGTACGTTTCTGTCCAATAGTACTGTGCACAAGGGAAATCGCCACTAACATATACGCACGCACGCACGCACGCACGCACGCACACACGCACGCACGCACACACACACACACACACACACACACACACACACACACACACATATATATATATATATATATATATATATAC